GCTGATTTGCCACTGCAGGTGAGTTGAGGGGTTGGTTTGCGCGTGAAATGGGTTAAGGGGGTAATTTGCCACCAGTCAATGAGTTAAGGGGGTGATCTGCATGTTTTGCCCAAGATCTTTATGGTGTATCTAACCGTTTTATGACGCATTAATTTGTCTGCATACATAATTAAAATAAAAAGTTATTCTCCTTATCTCATAATAATAATTTTTTAGATTTAAAAAAAAAAATATTTTTTGATCTTAATATTCTAATTATTTTTATTTTTAATTACTTATAATATCATACAAATTTTTTTTATATTTATTCATTTTTCAAGATAAAATAGATAAAAATAAGAATTATTTCTAAATTTTTAATTTTAAAATAAAAAAAATTCTATTATTCTGAAATAAAAATAGTAATTTGCAACCAAAAGAAAAATAAAAAATAGGTGGCCAACAAAAAAAAAAAATAAATATGCTAAGGCTTGATTTAAAATAGTTTTATTTTTTACTTTGTTACTTTCAATGATGGTTGCCAAAATTTAAACCCTCCAAATTAGTGATTAAAATCTAAAATTAAAAATTAAAATTACAAACAAACGTTTGATAACTGCGCACTTGACCCCATGTGTTTTTAAAATTTTCCTTTAACATAAACAAACTTGGAGATTGAATGCACATTTTCCAAATTACAAGGGGTTTAAAAACATATTTTCATGATTTAAAAGATTAAGTGCACAATTTCAAAGGTTTAAGTATGCATTTTGATGATTTAAAGATTGAGTGCATTCACCTCTCACCTCAAACCACACGGGAGTAAGTGTAATTCTACCTTTCAAATTATTGGTATGGACTGAATTGATGTGGGGTCTCGGGAGTAAATTCTTTTCATTGCAGAAATTAAGCTTGATTAGGACTTCCGTTTGGATGAATCAACAACTTTGTATCAATGGATGAAGATCGAAGAGGACGTGAGGCCTTCAATTATTTTTAATTGGCTAATTTTTCTTCTCGGTACGCCAGCCATGATATTGCCTATTGGGCCCCAAAAGAGACTGGTCCTACCATATTGGTCTTTGCATACTTTTCTAGATAGGATCCATAATCCAATCCTTTGATTTCACATTCATTGACATAAGGGAAAGAATGACTTTTTTTATAATCTGGGATATTATTTTCCATACCGTATTGTTAACGCTGTCTTCAATTTTGGTTAAAATTTGAGAACATACTTGATGGTTACATATAACTGGTTACTTAATACCAATTTTTTTAGTGAAATCTTAATAACTTTGCCCCAAAATGCATTGTAGGTTAGCTGACATAAATATTAACTACCAAATGAATTAATGGATTTGCAAATAGCGCTTGAACAACATTCATTCTCCGTTTAGTTTGAAAAAATGAATTATGAAATCTTGTAGGTTCTTGTTACATCATAAATTATAAAATTATTAAATGATATCACATTGAGATAATCTAATGAATGAATCTCCGTGACGCTTCCAGTACTGTTACATGTTACACCGGGCCAGCTGCAATGATGTGTAGATTTAGCGGGATAGTCCCTCCACCACCCACTTTTTACAAGAGCTTCTGCCTCTGATCCCTGAGATTTTGGCTCCAGAGTTGCCCTTGCCCCAAGTCTGGTACCAAATTAAAACCAATTGTACAGTAGAAAAAGAAGGTAGCCAATGTTAGTATAACTCCGTGGAGCTGCAAATATTATAAAAATGACATGTTTAGTTTGATTTGTCAGCTAAATATAGAAGATTTTTTTTTTTTTGTTTCGTGAGTCAAGGTCAAGATCTATACCGTCCTTCTTAGGCAATTCATTTTCCAGGCAACAACTTTCCTTGTTCGATGAGACTAGAGTGAGGGTTACGATACTTTTTCACAAAAACTGGTGCATTTCATTCATTTTTTTCTCGTGGGCAACAAAAAATCTTATGCTTTTGCAAAAACGCGTGGTCTTGACTCCATCAGCTACAAGTTATTAATTGGTTCAATTTCAAATTAATAGCATCAATCAAGCTGGATTGAATTGATGTTGGATGAAACTTCTTTTGATTGCAGAAATTAAGCTTGATTAGGACTTCAGTTTTGGTTTTAAATGGAAGACTTTGTATCCACGAATGAAGATTGAAGAAGCCATAGAGTCGTTAATTCTTTTGTAGTTGGCTTAATTTTCTACTCCGTAAGCAGCCATGAAATTGCCTATTGGGGGACCAAAAAGACTACCATATTGGTCTTTGCATACTTTTCTCAATGGATAACTACAAATCTTTTGATTCAATCCACTTCCACAGCTTCAACAACATTTCATAGGAC